CAGTCTGCGCAGTGCGAGCTGCTGGGGTGGGGAGGGGGCCCACGGGAGCCCCCCCACCCCACCAGGGCAGACGATCTGGGGGTGAGGCTGGGGAGGGGGGGCCCCCAGGGCTGCCTCTGCCCCTCCCCAAGGCGGGTGGGGGAGGGGAGGGGGAGCAGCCGGGGGGGCCCCGAGGGGGGTTCAGTGCCGAGGGTGGCCGGGCCGGGCCCGGCAGCGCGGCGTTCCCTGGGGGAGCCCTGTCCCCTTCCCTTCTTTAGGTGGATTTGTAACCCACGAGCTGCATGAGGCCCTTGGTGCTCATGGATTTGGGTCTCTCCAGGGGGAATCCCAGAGCCCGGCTCCAGATGAGCTGCGAGAGGACGCCCAGGGCCCGCGACACCCCGAAGAGCACCGTGTAGTAATTCATCTCCTTCATGCCGTAGTACTGCGGGGACAGCGGGCTCGGCGTGGGCAAGGAGACCCCCGGGAGACCCCTGGGAGACCCCCAGGGCACAGAGACAGGGACAGGCGGGGCAGGAGTGGTTTAGTTCTTGATGAGGGAGCAGCAGGGTGAGGGAGGGAGGGAGGGATGGGGAGAGGAACGGGCTGGGAGAGGGAGGGTGGGGCAGGGGAAGGGATGGACAGGACAGGGAGAGGGACAAACAGACAGGCAGAGGGACACATGGACAGGAGGAGGGACAGACAGACAGGGAGAGGGACACACACAGGGAGAGAGACACACAGAAAGGAGAACGGAGAGAGGGACACAGACAGGAGAGGGACAGAGAGAAGGACGCACAGGACAAGGGACAGACAGAGAGAGGGACAGAGAGAAGGACACACAGGACAAGGGACAGACAGACAGGGAGAGGGACACAGAATGGAGAACAGAGAGAGGGACACATGGACAGGAGGAAGGACAGACAGAACAGGGAGAGGGATATGGACGTGCAAATGGATACATGGAGAGGGAAAAGGACAGACTAGCAGGAAAAGGGACAGACAGCACAAAGGGACACAACCATGAAAGGGACAGAGGACCCTGGGCTCACCTGCAGCAGGACCCCGCTGTGGGCATCCACGTTGGGCCAGGGGTTCTTGGCCTTGCCCTGCTCCAGGAGCACGTTGGGGACGATCTTGTAGAGCTGTGCCACGAGCTTGAACAGGGGGTCCTTGGGCAGGTGCTTGAGGGCGAACTCGCGCTGGCAGGTGTAGCGAGGGTCCGTCTTCCGCAGCACCGCGTGCCCGTAGCCCGGCACCACCTGCAGGGACAGGGGCTCAGAGCCTGTCTTGGTCCTGGAACAGCCCCTGAGCCCTGGAACCCCTGAACTTTGGAACCCCTGAGCCCTGGAACCCCTGAACCCTGGAACAGCCCCTGAGCTCTGGAACAACCCCTGAGCCCCGGAACAGCCCCTGAGCCCCGGAACCCCTGAACTTTGGAACCCCTGAGCCCTGGAACCCCTGAGCCCTGGAACAGCCCCTGAGCTCTGGAACAACCCCTGAGCCCCGGAACTACTTGGCGCGGTGGATGCCCTCGGCGTAGGCGCGGGCGAACTTGCTCTCGCTGTTGAGGGCGGTGACGGCGGCGCTCAGCTGGGACATGGGGGGCAGGGTCACCACGTGGGAGGGCAGAGCTGCACGCTTGGCCCACTCTCGGGACAGCCAGGTCACCTACGGGGACACGCCGGGGCTGAGCTGTGAGGCTGGGGGCTGTCAGAACCCCCCCAGCCGTTTGCCAGCCCCTCCCAGGGCTGGGGGCTGTCAGACCCCCCTCAGCTCTTTGCCAGCCCCCTCCTGGGGCTGTCAGATCCCCCCCCAGGCCCCCTTCTGGATCCAGGGGCTGTCAGACCCCCTGAGCTGTTTGCCAGCCCATCCCTCAGCCATTTGACAGGCCTCTCCAGGGTCTGGGGGCTGTCAGAGCCCCCTCAGCTGTGTCCCAGCCCCCTCCTGGGTCTGGGGGCTCTAAACACGGGGGCGCGGCCGGGGAGGAGTGTATCGAGTCCCTGCGGGGGGCCCGGACACGGGGCTGGACTGAACCCCTCTCGGGGGGCTGCAGAGGGGCAGGGGGGGCTGCACCCCCCTCAGGACCCCCACCCAGCCCAGCAGTGGGGGAGCCCGGGGGGGGCTCCCAGTGTGCGCAGTGAGAGCTGCTGGGGTGGGGAGGGGGCACACGGGAGCCCCCCCACCCCACCAGGGCAGAGGATCTGGGGGTGAGGCTGGGGAGGGGGGGACCCCAGGGCTGCCTCTGCCGGACAGAGGGACAGGGGGACGGGGACAGAGGGACATGGGGATGGGGACAGGGACACAGGGACACCTGGATAGGGAGAGAGATGCGTGGACAGAGAGAGGGACAGAGGGACACATGGACGGGGAGAGGGACAGACAAGAGGTGAGGGCAGACAGGAAGAGGGACATGGACAGAGTGACAAGGAGAGGCACAGACAGACAGGAAGAGGGACACACTGGGCAGGGAGAGGGACACACTGGACAGGGAGAGGGACACACTGGGCATAGAGAGGGACACACTGGGCAGGAGCAGTGCCCACCTGGTTGGCGAGGCCGTGCAGGGGCCCGGCCAGCCCGTTCATGGCGGCGGCGAAGGCGAGGTACGGGTCAGACAAGGCGCTGCCCACGAGGTGGCTCGTGTGGGCACTCACGTTCCCTCCCTCGTGGTCACTGCCGGGGCCAGAGGGCCATCAGGACTCCCCCAGCCCCACCAAACACCTTTCACAGCATTTTGGGAGTGGGGAGTAGGGCGCTGCCAGCCCGGTTCAGCCCCACCCCAGCCCTGGGGGGCCCTGGGGCTGGGAGCGGGGCCAAACCCCCGCCTACTCCTCATCCCCAGCTGCTCCAGGTGCAGCTCCCAGCTTTCACCTGTGGATAGTGAGGTAGAGCCGCATCAGCTCGATGAACTGGGGGTCGGTGTAGCCCAGCATGTTGGTGAAGTTGTGGGACCAGTCGAGGTTGGGGTCGATGGCCCCGATGCCGCTGCCCTCGCGGTACAGGTTGCGGTAGATCTTGGCGGCCACGCACGGCAGCTTGGCGATCAGATCCATGGCGTCCTCGTACACAAACTGGGACCGGCGGGGTGAGACCGTGCTCCCCTGAGCCCCCGCACCCAAATCCAGCCCCCAAAGTCAGCGCTGGGGCAGCAGCTCCCCCCGTACCTCCCAGTACTTGGCGCGGTGTATGCCCTCGGCGTAGGCGCGGGCGAACTTGCTCTCGCTGTTGAGGGCGGTGACGGCGGCGCTCAGCTGGGACATGGGGTGCAGGTTGGTGGGGAAGTTGTCCAGCATGGTCACCACGTGGGAGGGCAGAGCTGCACGCTTGGCCCACTCTCGGGACAGCCAGGTCACCTACGGGGACACGCCGGGGCTGAGCTGTGAGGCTGGGGGCTGTCAGAACCCCCCCAGCCGTTTGCCAGCCCCTCCCAGGGCTGGGGGCTGTCAGACCCCCCTCAGCTCTTTGCCAGCCCCCTCCTGGGGCTGTCAGATCCCCCCCCAGGCCCCCTTCTGGATCCAGGGGCTGTCAGTCCCCCTGAGCTGTTTGCCAGCCCATCCCTCAGCCATTTGACAGGCCTCTCCAGGGTCTGGGGGCTGTCAGAGCCCCCTCAGCTGTGTCCCAGCCCCCTCCTGGGTCTGGGGGCTCTCAGCCCCCCCTCAGCCATTTGCCAGCCCCCTCCTGGATCCAGGGGGTTTCAGCCCCCCCCTCAGCCGTTTGCCAGCCCCCTCCTGGGTCTGGGGGCTCTCAGCCCCCCCTCAGCCATTTGCCAGCCCCCTCCTGGATCCAGGGGCTGTTGGGGGCTCTCAGCCCCCCCCCTCAGCCGTTTGCCAGCCCCCTCCCAGCAGTACCTGCTCCTGGGTTGGGATTTCTCCGGTCACCAGCAGCCAGAAGAGCCCCTCGGGCAGTGGCTCCTCTCCCCCCGCAGCTTTGGGCAGCTTCTTCTGGCACTCGGGAATGCTGTAGCCACGGAAGCGGATGCCCTGCGGGGCCGGGAGCGTCACCGGGTGGGAACGGGAGGGGACAGGGTGGGGACAGGGTGGGACAGGGTCCTACCTCATCAGGATCCAGCACCGAGGTCTCGTAGATCAGCCCTTTCATGCCCCTCATGCCGCCGTACACCTGGAAGGGGCCGGGAGGCGGCGGTGAGGGGCGGCGGCGGGGCCCGGTGGCACCGGTGGCACCGGTGGCCCCGGTGGCACCGGTGTGGCCGCACACTCACCATGTCCACCGTGATCTGCCCGATGGCCGTGCTGCCGTGCTGCTGCCGGAAGCTCTTGATCTTCGCCTGCTCCTTGGGGATCATGGTGGCCAAGACGTCTTTGAGGTTCTGGGGACAAGGGACAGGGATGTGAGAGGGGGGCTGAGCAGCAGAGGGGGTGACAGGAGAAGGGGGACAAGGAAAAGGTGTGACAACTGAGAGGGTGACAGGAGAGGGGACTCCCCCTGGAGAGGGGTGACAGAAGATGTGGGGCAGGAAAGGGAGGGAAGGAGGAGAGGGGACTCTCCCTGGAGAGGGGTGACAGAAGATGTGGGGCAGGAAAGGGAGGGAAGGAGGAGAAGGGACTCCCCCTGGAGAGGGGTGATGGGAAAGGAGGTGACAAAAGAGATGGGGACAGAAAAAGGGGCAATAGAACAGGGGGCTCCTTTTGGGGAGAGGAGACAGGAAAGAGGGTCAGAGGAAAGAGGGTGACAGGAAATGGGGTGACAGGAAATGGGGTGACAGGAAAGGGAGCTCCCATTGGAGAAGAGTGACAGGAGAGGGGGTCATGACAGAGGGGGTGACAAGAGAGATGGGGACAGGAAAGAGGATGAAAAGTGAAGGGTCTCCTCTTGGAGAGGGGTCTCAGGAGTGGCAGCCACAGGGAAGAGGTGTCAGGAGAAGAGAGCAGGTGACAGGACAGGGGTCAGGGGAGAGGACCACCCTTACCGTGGCGGCGCTGGCGTGGCGAGCAGCGAAGAGGACACACGGCGCATTCTGTGGGACAAGGGACACAGAGACCCCCCTGTCACCAGGGCAGGGCCTCTTTTTGGGGGGGTGCAGCCAGAGGACCCCCCTAGCCCCGTAGCAGGTGAGACCCCAGTTCCCAAGGACATCGGAGCCGCTACCCTCGCCCACGCGGGCGCGGCTCAGAGCCGGGATCAGCCGAGCCGGGATCAAAGCCGGGATCAAAGCCGGGATCAAAGCCGGGATCAGCCGGGGCGGCCCCGCGCTGCCCTCGCAGCCGGACCGGAGCTGGCACGGGGCAACGCGGCCGCGTTCTCCTTCCTGGAGCCGCGCCCGGCCAGGCACGGCCGCGGTTTTCCTGAGCCGGGGAATCCGAACTTTGTTCCTCGCCCACGCGTGGGAACCGGGAACCGCGGGGACTCCCGGCCGGCGGGGACATCCCGGGAACGCACGCCAGCACCGGGGACACCGGGCCCGCCCGCCCCGCTGGGCACCGCGGGCTGGGGGATACCGGGGGACACCGGGGGACACCGGGGCCGCCATCCACGGGGACACGCGGCGATTCCCCGGGGCCGGGAGCTGCGGCAGCGCCTGCGGCAGAGCCAGAACATGACTCGGTTTTTCCGCTGCCTGCCGGGAGGACGCGGGGGGGGCCGCGCTGCAGAGAACCCCCCCACTCCAAGGGTGTCCCCCGGTCCCCCGCCACCCCCGGGCCGGCCAGGGGGGTCCCCGGTGGGGCGGGTGTGGCCGTGGCGGGTGGCGAGGCCGTGTCCCCCCGCAACAGGCGGCTCCGGGAAGGGAAAATGCCGGCGGAACAATGGAGGCGGCGGCGGGAAGCCCAAGGTCAAGGCGGCCGCTGTCACACCCCCCCGGCCCGCCGTGTCACCCCCAGTGTCACCCCCGTGTCACCCCCGCTTTGGGGGTCCCCACGGCTCGTCCCGGCTGTCACCGAGGTGCCAGTGGCTCAAGGTCACGCGTGCTGGCGGTGACACCGGGCACCGGCCGGGGGGGGAGTGCGGGGACCCTCCGGGGGCTCCCGTTGTGCCCGGGGGTGCGGGGGCTCCGCGCTTCGAGACTGCGGGGTCGGCAGGAGGAGGAGGAGGAGGGTCGGGATCACGGCTCAAACCGGGGTGGGGGGCGGCCCCGGTTTGACGGGGGAGCAGGGCCAAGTGGGGCATCGGGAATATCCCAAAATATCGCCCGGTCGATAAAGACACCGCAACGCCCGTTACGAAACGCCGGGGCCGCGGCCAAGGCAAACACACCGGAGGGGTTGGGGCCGCTCCAGCCCGGTACCGGCGCTCGGGGGTCCCCTCGCTGTGACCCCGATGTCCTCTACGGCACCGAGACGCTGGGGAAGGGCGGCGGCGGCGGCGGCGGGGACGGTCCCCGCCTCCACCCCCCCTACCGCCGGTTCCACCGGGCGCGGCCTCCCGGGGCCGGTGCGGGGCTCCCGGGGGGCGTCCGGGACCCCCTAAGCCCGGCGCTGTACAACGAGGGGGAGCGGCGGGACCGGGACCCCCGGCGGGGCTGCCCCCACACGGGGCTGAAGCAGCAGCGGAATCCCCCGGGCACGGACCGGGCCCGGAGCCCCCCGAGCCACTCCCGGTGCCCTCGGCTCTGAGAAGGCTGCGGCGGGAGCGCCCGGCGCTGGTTCCCACCACGTGCTGCCGCTGCGGCCCCGCGCCCACCCCGGGCCCGATCCCGGTCCCGATCCCGGTCGCGGTCCCGGTCCCCCCGGTCCCATCCCCCCTCCTCCGCCGCCACCGCGCGGCCTCTTTAAAGCAGCGCCCCCCGCGTCGCCCCTTTAAGAACCGGACCCCCCCCGCTCTCCCTTCCCCCCGCGGCGTCGCCCCTTTAAGGCGCGGCGCGGCGAGGCCGGGCCGGGCGCGCTCACCTTGGGCCCGCGGAGGCGCGCGGCCGCCCGGCTGCCGGCGGCGAGGAGCGTCATGGCGGTACCGGGACGGGACAGGCCGGGGCTGAACGGGGCCGGGACCGGGAGCGGGGCCGGGACCGGGAGCGGGGCCGGGGCGGGAGCGGGGCCGGAGCCGCGGCGGCCGGGGGTCCTCAACGTGAGGGCGGGGCGGAGCGCGGCGCTGGTTATTAGCATAACCCCGCCCCCTCCCGGGGCAGAGCCGTTTTCTATTGGCCAAGAGGCGCGCCGTGGGGCGGAGCCACGCTAATAAAGTGGCGGGGGGCGCAAGCTATAGGTGGCCGCCGCATTCGCCTGATCAGGACCAGGGGTGGGGTGAGGGGGTGCCCGACCCGTCTCATGACGTCACCGGCCGCCGTGCGTGACGTCACGGCCCGGTGTCATCCCCGCAGCCGCGCCGGTGTCTCGGTGGGGTTTGGCTGTGGTGGCGGGGGGCTGCCCCGTGACGTCACCAGGCGGTATGAGGTCACTGGAGCCCATGACGTCATCCTGCATGTGGCCACAGTGGCTTGAGGCGCTAGGATGTGGCATGAGGCTCAGCGGTGACGTCAGGAGGTGGCATGTCACCATGCCCGCTGAGCCCAGGACATTGTCCTGCTGGCCCCGGTGCAACGGGTGACACAATGGAGTGACATGGGGTGACATGGGGTGACACGGGGTAACGGGTGCCAGAAGAGGGGCAGAGCCCTCCTGCTGCTCCCGTCCCCTGGCCAGGTGACATGGGGTGACACAGGCCACGGCAGAGAGGCCAGAACCCTCTCAGTGGCGGGGTGGGATGACACAGGGTGGCAGCTGAGCGCCAGCACCCCCACGGTGGATGGCATGAGGTGACACAGGGTGACACGGGGTGACCAGCCACAACCGAGGGGCTGGACCCCCATGGTGCCCCCACAGTGGGTGACACAGAGTGACACAGAGCCATGGGCTGACTGCCATCCCTGCCCCACAGCCGAGCCACGAGTGGTGAACCACTGGGGACACGTGGGGACACTGCTGTCCCCCACCCCACACACGCACACCGCACCAGAGCTGCCCTCGGGTGGGCCCACGGCCCCTTTATTGCCTGCAAAACACAGGGGGGTCCCCAAACCCCCCACCCCGCGGGGGCTGAGCCCCGCTGTGTCCCCGTGTCCCCCGGCAGCGGGGCAGGAATGTCCCTGAAATGTCCCAAAAGGAGCAAGAACGTGGCCCCGGCCCCGTGGCCGTCCCGGTGCCCCCGGACGGGGAATAAATAGGACGGGAGCTCCGCACGGGGCAAGGCAACCGGGGAGGTCCCGGAGATCTGTCTGTCCTGGGGATGTCCTGGTGGGTGCTGGGGACGTCCCGGTGGGTCCTGGGGACGTCCCGGTGGGTGCTGGGGATGTCCCGGTGGGTCCCGGTGCCGTCCCGGTCCCCGCTCCGGAGGCAGTCACAGCTCGTCGTGTGGGATGTGGAGCGCGTGGTCACACAGGTCTGCGGGGACAACAGGGGACGATGGGGGTGTGGCAGAGCCATGGGGGACCCTCAGGGTGTGGGGGAGCCCAATGGAAGTTTTGGGGTCTCCTGGAGCTCCATGGGACTCCAGGGATGTGACAGAGCTGTGGGACCTTCCATGGCCAGAGCCCCGTGGGACCCCCAGGATGCACCAGACCCCCACGAGACCCCCAGGACACTGCAGCCCTGTGGGACCCTCAGGATGCACCAGACCCCCACAAGACCCCCAGAACATGTCAGAGCTCCATGGGACCCCCAGGATAGACTAGACCCCCAGGGCACAGCAGCCCTGTGGGACCCTTGGATCACATCAGAGCCCTCTGGGACCCTCAGGACACATCAGAGCCCTGTGGGACCCTCTGGATGCCCCAGACCCCTGTGGGACTCCCAGGACAAGGCAGTCCTGTGGGACCCTCAGTGCTGGAGCCCTGTGGGACCCTTGGGTCACAACCAAGCCTTGTGGGACCCTCAGGACACATCAGAGCCCTGTGGGACCCTCAGGATGCCCCAGACCACCACAAGACCCCCAAAACATGGCAGCCCTGTGGGACCCTCAGGACACATCAGAGCCCCATGGGACCCTCAGGATGCAGAGGTCCCACAAGACCCCCAGGATATGACAGCCCTGTGGGACCCTCAGGACACATCAGAGCCGTGTGGGACGCTGTGCTGCCCTGTCCCCTCCCAGGGCCGGTCCCTGCTGTGCCCTGAGCAGGGGCCAGTGGCATTGCCCTGCCTTTGTCCTGTGGTTAATGACAAATGTGGCTGTCCCTGCTCTGGCCCCCATGCTGCAGGAGGAGCCCCAGGAGCAGCTGTGGAGACCCTCAGGATCCCCTGGGGCAGAGCATTGCCCTGATGGCCGTGCCACGTACAAAGGGACCTGCCCTGGCCCCATCCAGGGCCCCGTCCAGGACTGCAGTGGCCCAAAGGTCACAGCGTGCCCTGACCTGGCTGTTTGTGAGCTGGAAATAGCCCCAGAATGGGACAGGGCCATTGGATGCGCCAGGAGAGGCCACAGAGTCAGCACAGCAGCTGCCCTGGCTCGGCCCCAGCATCCCAAAACAACCCCGGTGCCAGCAGGGTCCGGGCACTGCCATGGGCTGCTGGGATTTGGGGAAGAACTTGTAACTCCTCCCTGCCCTGGGCTGGCAGTCCCATCCCAGCACTGACAGAGCAGGAGAGACCACTGGAACAGCAGGAAAGACCCCCAGAACAGCAGAAGAGACCCCCAGGAACAGCAGGAGAGACCCCCTGGGACAGCCCCAGCTTTGGGCTGGTAGAAAATCCCATCCCAGCACTGATGGAGCAGGAGGGACCGCCTGGGACAGCAGCAACAGCAGCAAAGACCCCCAGGAACAGACTCAGCTCTGGGCTGGCATCTCAGCTCAGCTCGGCTCAGCTCAGCTCACCCAGCACCAAGGGAGCAGCCACAGCCCCGGGAGCAGCAGCAGAGCCCCCCAGCCCCCCCATCTCACCCGTCCTCTTGCTGCACAGCCGGTCCTTGACGTTCTCAGCCTCGTGCGACAGAAACTCGATGAGCTCGTCCTCGTACTCCTCAGCGATGCTCTCACACTGCAACGGTGACACCGGTGACGCCGCCAGCCCGTGGGACCCCCCCGTCCCACCCACACCCCCCCAGGACTCCCCTGTCCCCTCACACACCGCGAATTTCAAGCTGGAGGTGACGTCCCCGTCGAATTTGAGCCCGGACAGGTCCATCTTGGTGCCGTCGTGGGAGATGACGCGGACGTAGCTCTTGCGCTGCGTGGCCGGGTCCAGCTTCTCGCCGTACTCCTTCATCTTCTCGCACACCCGCTCCAGCAGCTCAGTCAGGTGCGCCTCGGAACGGGCGTACGGCACCTGCGGCACCGGGGAGGGGTCACAGGGGACACCGGGAGCGGGGACACCGGGAGAGGCCCGGGGCAGGGGTCAGTGGGGACACCAGGAGCAGGGACACCGGGAGTGGCCCTGGGCTGGGCTCAGCAGGGACACCAGGAGCGGAGACACTGGGAGAGGGCCCAGGCTGGGCTCAGTGGGGACACTGGGAGCAGGGACACCGGGAGAGGCCCCGGGCAGGGGTCAGCGGGGTCCCCGGGAATGGCCCCGGAAGTAGGGACACCGGGAGAGGCCCCATGTTGGGGTCAGTGGGGTCCCCGGGAGCAGCCCCCGGGAGCAGCCCCGGGAGCAGGGACACCGGGAGGGGCCTCAGGCAGGGGTCAGCGGGATCCCCGGGAGCAGGAACACCGGGAGGGGCCCCGGGCAGGGGTCAGTGGGATCCCCGGGGGCGGGGACACAGGGAGGGGCCTCACCTCCACCACCGACTGGCTGCCGTCGGGGTTGATGCGGAACGAGCCCATCTGGATGGTTTTTCTGGGGTCCACCTGGGCGATCTCCCACTCCAGCTCGTCCACCAGCGCCCGGCAGGCTGTGGGGGACACGGTGACAAGTGACACCTGGCACATGTGCTCCTGCAGCTGCCCAGAGCCACACTGGTGTGACTGGGGCACACTGGGATGGAGGGTGTGTGGGGAGGGTCCCCCTGGGGGACACTAGGGGTCCAGCTGGTCCCAGTGGAGACCCCCAAGCCCTGTGCCTGTCACCTGTCTTGTCTTGCTGTCTCCTCTGTCCCTGTGCCCCCGTTTTAGCCCTGTCTCCCATTTCATCCTGTTCCCCTGTCCCATCCTGTCCCCATGTCCCTGTCCTCCCTTTCCCACCCTGTCCCCACTGTTCCCCTGTCCCATCCTGTCCTGAATGTCCCTGTCCTCCCTTTCCCCCCAATTCCCACCTGTCCTGCCCTGCTCCCCCTGTCCCCATTGTCCCTGTCATGCCCTGTCCCCACTGTTGCCCCATCCCATCCTGTCCCCATGTCCCTGTCCTCCCTTTTCCCTCTTTTCCCACCTATCCTGTCCTGTCCCCATCATCCCTGTCCTCCCTTTCTCCCATTTCCTTCCTGTTCTGACCTGTCCCCACTGTCCCATCCTGTCCCCAATGTCCCTGTCCCCACTTTTCCCCCATTTCCCACCTGTCCTGCCCTGTCCCCACTGTCCCCATCCCACCTGGTCCCCCGTGTCACCCCCTTATCCCCGTATCCCCTCACACCTCCGCAGTGCAGGTCCTGGCTCCGGCGCGCTCCGGCCGCTGGCAGCAGCGATGCCAAGGCCAGGGCCAGGCCGAGCAGGGCCGGGATCCGGCTCTGCATCCCCGGGGCTCCGCAGACTCCCGGGATCCGGCCCCGCATCCTCAGGGCTCCGCTGTCACCTGCGGGCACGGGGCAGCTCCAGCGCTGGTGGCCCCGCTGTCCCCACACCTCGTCCCACCCAAGGGCCACCCCTGCCCGGCCCTCCCCGGGACCCCCGTTCCCCGCAGGGCTTCATCCACGGTGTTCCCCTTCCCGGTCCGCTCTGAGTCCCGTTAGTGCCGCTGGACCCCATAGGGACCCCTCCCCATAGGGCAGAGACCCCACAGAGCCCCCTCCCCTATAGGGCACAGCCCTAACAGGGACCCCTCCCCATAGGGCACAGCCCCCACAGGGCCTCCTCCCCTATAGGGCAGAGCCCGGAGTCCCTACAGGGACCCCTCCCCATAGGGCAGAGACCCCACAGAACCTCCTCCCCTATAGGGCAGAGCCCGGAGCCCCTACTGGGACCCCTCCCCATAGGGCAGAGCCCCTACAGGATCCCTCCCCTATAGAGCACAGCCCAGAGCTCCACAGAGCCCCCTCCCCTGTAGGGCAGAGGCCAAAGCTCTTCAGGAGCCCCCTCCCCATAGGGCACAGCCCGGAGCCCCCACAGAGCCCCCTCCTCTAGAGGGCAGCGCTCAGCCGCCCTCACAGAGCCCCCTCCCCTCCGGGATGTCCCCACAGCCCCTATGGAGCCGTTCGCCCTCAGGGCCGAGTCCATCGCCTTCCCGAAGCTCTCTGATCCCGGACCCGGTCCCGAGCCGCACCGCCATCCGAGCCCCGGGCCCGGTCGAGCCCCCCCACCCCGTCCTGCGCCCCCCGTACCGGCCGCTCTCCCGTCCCGCTCCCACCGCCCCTCACAACCACCGGCTGCCCCGGGACTGCCCGCGGCGCCGCCGGTCCCGGCGCGCCCTCCCGGCCCGCACCACCGCGGGTCACGGCCGCTCGGAGCGGGCGGCGGCCGAGCCGCGACGGGCGACGGAGCCGGTCGGACCGGTCAGACCAGCAAGAGCGGCTCCTCGGGCCGCGGCGGGGCCGTCCCGCGAGCAGGCGGCGCAGAGGGCAGCCCCAATGGGTGCCGAGGGCCCCGCCGTTGCCAGGGCCCGGCCGCGTGGCGCTCGGCCCCGAGTGGGCGGGGCTGACGCGACTCCGCCTACCTGACCGGTCTGGCCACGCCCCCACCCTGGCTCAGCCGCGACCCGGGATCGGAACCGGGACCGGGACCGGAACACCGGGACCGGGCTTCGTCCCCCCGTGCCCCGGTCTGAGCCCCGGACCGAACGTGGGTCCTGGTCCGTCCCGCCGGTCTGAGCACTAGACCGAGTCCGTCCTGCCGTGCCCCGGTGCTGGTCCCGTTCCGAGCCCGGTCCCGGTGATTCCTGCCGTGCCCCGGTGCCAGCCCCGAGCCGGCTCCTCTGCACCGTGTCCCTGCTCCCAGCCCCGGTCCCGGTGATTCCTGCCGTGTCCCCAGTGCCAGCCCCCTCCTTGCTCTGTGCCCGGTCCCGGTCCCGGTTCGGCTCCTCCGTGCCGTGCCCCGGTGCCGGTGCCGCCCCCCGGAGCCAAGCAGGACACGGTCGCACGAGGGTCCGAGGTTCTTTATAAGGGCGCCCGGGCCGGCGGGCGAGCGGGGCGGGGGTCGGGCAGTGCTTCCCGGTACCGGCAGGGAAAGGGGAGCCCCGGGGCACCGGGCCCGGGGCGGGGGTCGGGCGGGTCGGGGACAGCCCCGGTCCCGCTGCTGGTTCCAGTTCCACGCGTGGCCGCCTCTCCCGGCGCTGCTCCTCGCGGGGGCTCCGGTCACAGCGCCAGCACCGGAGGGAACACGGCCCCGTCTGCGGGGACAGCGCGGTGACAGGGACAGTGTGGTGACAGGGGACACAGCAGGGGGAGAGGGGACACCGGGGTGACAGGGGACACCGGGGGTGACAGGGGACATAACGGGGAGAGGGGACACGGGGGTGACAGGGGACACCGGGGGTGACAGGGGACATAACAGGGGGGAGAGGGGACACCGAGGGGGAAAAGGGGGGAGAGAGGGGACAGGGGGGGGAGAGGGGACACCGGGGGTGACAGGGGACATAACAGGGGGGAGAGGGGACATACGGAGGAGAGAGGGGACATGGGGGGAGAGGGGACAAGGGGAGGGGACACGGAACACAGGGAGGGGACAGGGGACACCGTGGGGGGAGAGGGGACAGGGGGGAACACGGCCCCACCTGCGAGGACACGATGGGGTGAGAAGTGACACAGCAAGGTGAGATGGGACGCGGGGAGCGGAGAGGGGACAGGGGAGGGGACAGGGGACACGGGGAAGGGAGAGGAGACACGTGGACGCGACAGGGGAGACAGGGAGGGGACAGGGGACAGGGGGAGGGGGCAGCAGCCAGGAGGGAACACTGCCCCGTCTGCGGGGACACGGCGGGGTGAGATACGGCAAGGGGTGAGAGAGGGGACACGGGGAGCGGACAGGGGACACGGGGAGGGGACAGCGGTGACATCTTACGCTTGGGGCTGCTCTGGCTGTCGGGCTCGGGCACCTTCCAGTCCAGCTTGCGGCCCTTCTCGTAGAGCCCCTTGAGCACCTTCCGGAACTCCTCGGGCTCCGCGCCCTGCGGGCTCAGCTCCAGGTACTTGCGGTACAGCTGCAGCGCCGTGCGAGCGTCCTCGATGCTGTCGTGGGTCTCCCCCTGGATCTTCAGGTCTGCGGGGACACCCCTGGCTCAGCGGGGGGACCCTCGGGGGTGGCGGGGGGGGATCCGCCCCTTCCCGGATCCCGGAGCTCCGTTACCGACCCAGGAAGTACCAGGCGAGGAAGCGCAGGGAGATCATCCTCTTCCTCGGGATGTGGAACAGGTACACGGTGTCGATCACCTGGTCCTTGGGCACCTGGGGAGGGGACAGGGTCCTGCTGTCGGGGCACGGGGGGCACAGGGAGCCGGCCCGACCCCTCCCAGCCCCACCCCAGCCCCCCACCGTGGCCAGGGAGGGGGTCAGGCTGTCACCATCAGGTTGATGACACGGAAATCCTTCTGCAGCCCGTGGCCCACGAACTTGACGCCCACGTCGATGAGGAAACGAAGCTTCAGGTAGGTGGATTTGAGGGTGGTCAGGTGCTTGGAGGAGATCTTAGCATCCAGGTCTCCTGGCTTGATCCCCGAGTACTGGGTCAGGTAATCCACCACCTGTGGAGACCAGGGCACCTGGAGGGGGCTGCAGGGCCCAGGGGCTCTGCCCCCTCCCCAATTCCCCTCTCAGCACCCTGGGGAGGGGGCTGGTGGTGTAGGACAACAGTCCCAGGTGACCATGGAGGACATGGGAGTCCAGGTGAGGTCACCACAGAGGACACAGGGGAACACCCAGGAGGCAATGGAGAGCACCCAGGTATCCATGGAGAGCAACAGGTATCCATGGAGAGCACCCAGATATGCTGGTGGTGTAGGACAACAGTCCCAGGTGACCATGGAGGACATGGGAGTCCAGGTGAGGTCACCACAGACGACACAGGGGAACGCCCAGGAGGCCATGGAGAGCACCCAGGTATCCATGGAGAGCAACAGGTATCCATGGAGAGCACCCAGATATCCATGGAGAGCACCCAGGTGTCCATGGTCAGCACCCAGGTGTTCATGGAGAGCAACAGGTATCCATGGAGAGCACCCAGGTGTTCATGGAGAGCACCCAGCTGGGTGGGTGTCCAAGTGAGGTCACCATGGAGAACACAGGTACCCAAATGAGGTCACCAGGGAGAACACAGGTACCCAGGTGAGGTCACCATGGAGAACACAGGAGCCCAGATTAGGACACCATGGGGAACACACAGGAGCCCAGATTAGGTCACCATGGAGAACACAGAGGTGTCCAAGTGAGGTCACCACGGACAACACACACGTGCCCAGATGAGGTCACTGTCACCTGTAGAGCAGGCCCATGTCCCTCCTGGTGGCCTGGGGAGCTGCGTGAGGCCAGGTGGGCCCCCATACCTGTTCCTGGGTGGAGATGTAGTCATCGATGAAGGGCACACCCTCGTTGGGGCCCTGCCCACGCACACAGGTGATCCGGGCCACCGACATCTGGCTGGGCTTGATGGTGGACTTGGTGCCATCACTGCGCAGCTCAGCCTCCTCCTGCCACCAAGGATGGGACACGTGGTGACCAACAACCCCAGAGGGGCCATGCCTGTCCCCTTGTCCCCAGCCAGAGGGGGCTCCCCCACTCCCCCACCTCGTTCAGCGTGACGAACTCGGCGTCCAGCCCCACCAGGTCTCCAGCCTGGGGCATCTCGTTGAGCATGAGGGGGATGAAGGTGGCGTGGCACTTGCGCTGCTTGCGGGCCAGCGAGGCCTCGGCCAGCAGCACGTTGGCCTCGATGGGGTTCTTGACTGTGCAGGGAAAAGGGGAAGGAGCTCAGCGGTGCCGCGGCGGCGCCGGCCCCGCCGCCGCTTCCACGCCGGGGGCACTCACTGACGAGGTTGTACTTGGCGTTGAGGTTCCTCCGGGCGTAGTAGAGGATGGCTGGCACCTTCCAGCTCATGTCAAACTGCACAGCCTCGCACTGCAGGGGAGGGGGGACGGTCAGGGACAGCCAGGGTGGCTCCACGGGGTGGCCACGGTGTCACTTCGGCGCTCACCTTGTCCACGGGCTCGATGAGGAAGTCGTTGAAGAGGTACCACTGCTGGTGTGTGACTCCCTGGGGGGGAAAGGCACAGCCTTAGGGGCCCCCCCAGGCCAGAGCAGTGACTCCTCTGCCCAGTTACCAGGGAAAGGAGGGTGTGACGATGCCATGTGGGAACCCCCGCCCTTCCTGGGACACCGTGGGGAAATCCCTGCTGCCCTGGGTGGTGACAGAGGACGAGAAAGGATTGGGCTGGACGGGCTCCGGGCTCTGCCCAGCTCCTGAGCAAAACTCCAGGGAGATGCAAGAGATAAAGAGACAAGGATGGAGCCTTGACACACTCTGGGAACTCCTGCCTTGGGCATCTCCAGCAGAAACCAGGACTGCCCAGACCAGCCCTTTCCTCGGGAAGGGAGATGACGTCCCTGCCCTTACCTGGAAGTACAAGGACAAGCTGGCACCGTGCCCGTGGCCAAGAGGAACCAGCCTGAGAGGGTGTGGGAAGAAGATTTCTTCAACCCTTCCCTCCCCGTGAGGGGCCCCAGCAGCTTTTGGCACGTTCAGCCAAACCCTCCACACTTGGCTGAGACAGCCAGGAATGACAGATCCCCCTCGGGGGGGGCTCCCAGGAGCTGGTGGGTACCGTGGGGGTCCTGCAGGGTCTCACCTCCTTCCGCTGGTGGTAGGTCTCTCCCACCTTGATGTGCCCCACCAGGCTGCCCCCCGTGCGGGAATCCAGGATGTGGACAACGGTGGCCATGAGGTCGTAGATGTACACGGACTCGGGGTCGTCTGTTGGGCTCAGCTGTGGGAGGAACCGGGAATGTCCCAGCCCCCAAACCACCAGCCCGAATATTTCCGTGCTCCCCTGAGTTATCTCCTCATCATCTCTCAGCAGAAAGTGGTTCTGAGGCAGCTCTGCTCCCACAGCCCCACGTGCCTCTGTCGCTTCACCCACGGCGATTCTGTGACTTCACCCACGGTGACTCTGTCACCTCACCCACAGTGATTTTGTCACCTCACCCACGGTGATTCTGTCACTTTACCTCATCAGTCTCGCTCCAGTTGCTCACGTCGAGCTCTTTGCTCTTGGTCAACCTCATCTTGATGGCGTGAGGGATCCAAATGTTCTTCAGTTCCTCCACGGAAGGATACGAATGCCCCGTGTCGGGGTTCCCCAGATCCTTCCTGCACGGGGAATCATGGAAAGCTGAGCTGGAGGGAGATGTCACCCGGGCCAGGACTCCCACCCACCCATTGCCCAGCTGATTCCTGAAATTTCTGTAGGAAGCTGGAGCTGCCTGGAGCAGGACTCTGGGAGAAGTGCTGAGCCAATGTGGTTTTGGGGCTTTTGTCAGTTACAAAAGGGGCACGAGGTGGGTGACAAAGGGGATGTGGTGCAGCCTCAGACAGGCAGGTTATCAAATCAACATTATTTACATGAGAAACAGCCCAGAGAATCACCCAGGAGGTGTCACTGCTCAGAGGTGCCAGCCCAGGAACAGAATCCCAGAATCCTTGAGGTTGGAAAAGCTTTCCAAGGCCATCAAGTCCAACCTCTGGCACCCAGACCACCCTGTCACCCAGACCAGAGTGCCACATCCACTCATTCCTTGGCCACCTCCAGGGATGGTGACTCCACCACCTCCCTGGGCATGTCCAAACTCTTTCCATGAAGAAAT